GTGTGTGTGTGTGTGTGTTTGTGTGCGTGTCCCCTCATGTGGCAGGTCACTATAGGACAGTAGTGCAGACATCATGAGCCTATGCAGGTTGTTTTCAGGCGATTTTATATTTGTTATTTTCTTTTATATTTCACGTCGGGAGAATAATTTCCAAGACACAAATGTGTTTTTCCCTGTGCACTGCTGCTCTGTTCTACTGGCTCTTCGATCTCGTCCATTGTGCGACTGACGCCGCCAACGTTAACATGACGTTTACATCGCTCTTACTGCGAGCGTTTTGTGTGGGTTTCCGGCAATGAGTGGAATTACCGAAATAAAATAAAAATTATAAATGTGTTTTTTGTGTGTGTGTGTGTTGTTGTCCCAACAACACATAAAAACACTAAATATACAGAAACACTAAAGTTAGAGATTAAAAATGAGATTAACGCAATTAAAAAACATAACGCGCTAAATATGACTGTAATTAATTAATCGCAATTAACGCGATAATTTGACACCCCTAATGAGACACATGATTTCACATCTATATGTCATCATTTATATCTGTCCAAAGTTCACGCTGGCATCACTTTGGGAGGACGTCCTACTGAGCCTCTGAGCCTCTCCCCTCAAACACCAGCTGCTCCTCTCCATGGCCACAGAAGTCTTCTCCTCAGATCATCTGGCTCCTCTGTCTGCAGTCTCCAGGCCCTCATAATGTGCCTGTCATTGGGACTTATCAAGAAAGCACTTTATGAGCACTTTGTTTCATCGACATTTGGAGCTGATGTTGACCCTCGCCTCAGCACTGTGCAGAGTGCGGGGAAATAGAAGGCTTTTAAGGAGAACATTTATAGTGGTGTGTGTGTTTGTGTGTGTGTGTGTGTGTCCGCATGTGTGTGTGTATGTATGTGTGTGTGAGTGGGTCCGATAGGCCTGTTCAAACAAACTGGGGTTTATCAGAGCCACAACTGTAAAGATAAAGTGCACACAGGGCTGGGAGCTAAGGAGTGGAGCGAGCAGCAGAGCAAATACAAAAGCAAGTGAAAATACTGTGAGGGTTTTGATAGAGATTTAGTGTTGACAATACAGGGCTATAAAAGAAGGTGCAGTCAAGTGAGTGGGAATTAAAGGAACTGTCTGTAGCCCGCGCTCTTATTGGGTTAAAAAAGAACGACAGTCATAACTGAACCTTGTGCCAGAGCCTTAACCTGCTGATTCAACACATCATGTAATCCAGGTAGTCCAGGTAGATTCCAAAGCAAAAAAAAATAAAAAAATCACAAAAGCTTTAGAGTGAAGACATTTTAGCACTCGTCCAAGAGGCTTCTTCAGCCAGTGTCTACTAAGGCTGAATCCCATTACACTCCTTGGCCATACCACTTTCCCCTACCGCTTCACATGGAGGGTAGGGTTGTCCCAGTTACCGTTATGGCAGTGGGGTCGGGGAAAATGTATATACCCCTCCAAAGATTTTTCAGAGGCATACTCCAAATGGAGGGGTATGAGCAATTTCCAAAATGCCTTGTGAATCTCAGGAAAGATGACTCCTACCACAACAACAGACCGAAGAATCCACAGTTGTAGACATGTTCACTGAAACGGCTGGACAAGCATGTTGAATTTCTGGCAGCTCGTCGTGTCTGTTTATGTAAAAGTTGGCAGAGACTACTGATGACGTATGTGATTGTTGAAGGGCTGTCCAAATTTGTAGGAGTTTACTTTCAATCCCTACCCCTTGTTGCTCAGTTTCAACGGGCACAGGGGAAGGAGTATTACAAATGGGATTGGCCCTTAGTGTGACTAAGAAGCGACACTCATATTTTAAAGTGAAAACAAGTAGGTATGTCGGCTTCAGGGTCTCCTCCCTTCAGAGTCATATAAGGCAGTGTCCACCAGAAGTCTGGCCAAAACTGAAGAAGTCACTTGATGAGTCGAAAAATGTCCTCTCTTAAACGTGTGAAGAATCCCTCAGTCGTCCAGGTAGAATCCATGTCAAGGAGAAAATTCTGTGTGTCGACTGGACAAAAGTGAGTTTGGTTGAAGATGTTTCGCAGTTCATCCAAGCTGCTTCTTCAGTTCTGGTCAGACGCTGGTGGACACTTCCTTATATGTGCAGGGAGGAGCGAACTAACTGAAACTAACACACACACTTGTTTACAGTTTCTGTTAGTTAGTTCGGCCTTTTGACCTATGCAGGGTGTGGGGTCTAATTAGCAGAACAATTCAGGGCCATAATGGAGGCACACCTAAGCCAGGTCAGGTCAGGTCCAGAGGTGTGGAAGCTCCATTATGGCCATGAATTGTTCTGCTAATTAGACCCCACACCCTGCATAGGTCAAAAGGCCGAACTAACTAACAGAAACTGTAAACATGTGTGTGTTAGTTTCAGTTAGTTCGCTCCTCCCTGCAGACAGATATAAGGAAGTGTCCACCAGCGTCTGACCAGAACTGAAGAAGCAGACTAACTTTTGTCCAGTCGACAAACTGAGTTTTCTCCTTGACACCTCACTCTTAAACGTTTGTCCTGTTCATAGAATGTAATCTTATGCTATAGAGGACACATCTTGTCTCATTCTCAGTTTCTGGACAGACCAGGCCTCTTGTGAAAGCTCACAACCTCCAGAGTCCACTCCCTGAGCTGCAGAGGCTGCACTAGCACTGATTCATGACTGGTACAGGTGCTGAGGTCCTTTTAGGTTTAAACCAACTGGATTTCATCATTGAAGCTGGCAACCCAAATGACACCAAATTATAACATAAACTATTTGATCATCAACCAACAAATATATTGAGTGGACTTAGTTCTTGTGTAAACGCTTCTGGTTTTCTGTCCTCAGGTAATCAGGTATCCAAAGCTTTTCCTTGTTTTGTTGTATGATCTAAATTTATCTTGAGAACCAAAACACAAAATGTACACATCTTCAACATGTACATGTGGATTAGATGTTTCACTAATCATGATAAGAGACAGAGATTATGAAATATTAAACAAAACCTGTAGATGATCTTATGCCCCTGTGGCAGAACACAGGGACATAGTTTAAAGGTGGTGGAGGGCCCATCACCTGCTCGTCTCATTCCACAGTTCCACACAAGTTATTATTGCAAAAACATGGCTTGGTGAAGTCACCCAGAGAGGCTTTATGCCATTTAGTGGAACATTCCAGACAAATCAACATCTCCAAGGAAAAGTGAAGTCTTCAGACCCTAACACAGTGCCCCTTTAATCTCTCCAGACATGTTTCATTCTGAATGCGCTCCAATAATGGAGTGATATTATTGAAACCTTATATTTGTGGTGCAGATGTAGCTCTGTGTGTGTGTATGTGTGTGTGTGTTGTGTTTGTGTTGATGAGAAACAGATTTTGTGTGTCTGTGCTCTGCTCGTCCTCTGCTCTGTCCTTTCAGCCTCCATCATCCAAACAATCACAGGCACTCACACAGAGGGCTATTGACATTGACAGGACTTGAACCCCATTCAGCTGCCTCAGAATATTAATAAAGGCATGTGTGTGTGTTTGAGTGTGTGTGAGCGTGTTTACTGAGCCACATGGGGACTCAAACCTGCACTACACAAAAAGGAAGAAAACATTTTCAAGTTTTCCAGCAAAACTCTGTGTGAATGGAAAGACAAAATCATACTAATACGACTTATGTGACAACATTTTAACTCCACTGATCGTTTCTCTTCTGTGTTGGACATGACTTTGTAGTTTGGGGGTTCCCATGGAAACCTGCACCTGGTCTTATAACATACTATTACACAATGCACCAGTCCAGCCGTTTCAGTGACCATGTGGATACTGATACATGTTCAGGTAACTTACCACAGCTGCCACCAGAAACTGTGGTGTCCTTTTTAACAGAGACATGACCAGGATGATTCTTTTCTATGGAGCTTTTATTGAGTCAGTTTTATCCTTTTGTGTGGTCTCATGGTTTTGGCTCTCTCTCTCTCTCAAAAACAAAAACCTGCTTTCCCACATTGTCACATGGTCCAGTGAGGTAACTGCAGACCCCGGCTGCACCCTGAGTCCCTGTACTCCAGACAGCTTCACTCGTTCAGCCGTTTTAAACAACATGTCTCACCCTTTGCATGGGGACTTTTAGCTCCATCCATCTGGGCAAAAGTACCTGGGGCCAAGGTACAAAACTAAGCACTTTAAAAACATCTATGTTAGCTTAAGAAACTGTAAACTATCTTTTCATTTTTATATTGGGACACCCTTTTTATTGACATGTTTTAGTCATGGGCTCTTTGTATTGTGTGTGTGTGTGTGTGTGTGTGTTTGAAGGTTTAAAGAAAGTGACCTCGACCTGTTGGTGCCTACTTGTTCTGACTTTTGTCATCATTAGTGTGTAAGGGTCCCTGAATTTTTAGCAGTTATTCTTAGTCAATTTGAAAGTAGGAAACACTGAACAAAACAGATGTCATTTCCTGCAATCTGCCACAGCAAATTCAACTTTTACAGCAGTAAGATTGTGTGATTTCAGTAGACAAACAGAAGAGTGCAGGTGTGTGTGCTGCTCTGCAGATGTGTATGCACTGCCGGTGTGTGTTTGTGTATATGATGTGCACATATGTTTGGAGTACAGCTCTCCTCCTTGGCCTGTCCTCTGAGGAAGGAAACTGCTGTTTAGTGCAAATGAGCTGAGTCTGAGTGATTCTGGAGCATCTGGAAGTCTGCACCGACCTGTGCTCATCCACCACATGAGTCTGTGGTGAGTTTGTGAACTCACAAATATCAGAAGCAGGTCCTCTCAGGCGTCACTAGCTCAAGACTTCACAGCTGCTCCAGAGTCATGACTAGAGTCTCAGTCATTCAGACATGTAGACCCGAGTCTTCCTCATTCAAACATTTCACATGGTGAGATTTTACAGATGATAAAATCAGTATAAAAAGAATGACACTGGGGAACTCTGAGCTGTGAGAACATAGGTCCACCTCATAAAGATGCTCACCACTCTGCCGACACAGTAGAGTGAGATGAGAGGGGCTCAGGTGTGTACTCACAGTAGCATGTTCCTCTCAGCGGGTTGCCAAGGTAACGGTTCTCTGAATCACACCTGTAACAAGGACACAGAGGAGGTGGTTAGTCATCTTCAAGAGGACCACAGCTGTCTGTGAGCACCTGTATGATACAGGACATAGTACAAAGTACTACACTGCAGTACACACTACTGCATCAAACTACTACACTACAGTAGAAACTACAGCAACAAAGTACTACACTAAAGGGTATCTTCCTCGCAGTAGACACCCTTTGCTTTGTTGACAGCTGCAAACCCTTAGTCTTCTCTCAATAATCTTCATGATGAAGTCTCCTGAAATGGTTTTCATGTCACAGATGTGTCAGGGGTCATTAGTGGAATGCCAATCGTGCAAAGCAGTGATCAAAGCAAAGGGTAAAGGCTATTTTGAAAAATCAACAGTGTAAAGTGTTTTGGACTGTGACAGTCAGGCTGCGCTTCTGCCTCTCGTGTGTTTTATGGGGCAGTGTTTGGTTTGAATGATGCACGGTGCAGTGAACAAGACCAAACCCAGAACAGAACTCACTCTAGTGGCCCTGAGCAGGCTCCACACAGCACAGTCACATGTGAAAAGCACCTAAAAAAACGTTGTGTTTACTGCATTCCATATGTGTTCATTCATAGTTTTGATGGCTTCAGTGAAAGTCAGTGAATGTAAATAGTCGTGAAAATAAAGACACATGTCTGTTCTTTTGACTGCTTGTGTGTATTTGTCAAACATTGTCTCTGTTTGGTTCCTAGGGGCCTCAAAGCCAGAACTGATCCCCGAGTCTACAGCACATTATTATCAAGTCAAAGCTCAGAGCAGACTGTATGTGTGAAACACGTGTGTGAAACATATGTGTGAAACATATGTGTGAAACACAAAGGCTGCTGTGAGGACGGGTCAAGTCCACACAGGACTTAACAAGCTCACACTTGAGCCTGCGGTCACAAGCTCGTCAGATACTGTACCTGGAACACTGTGGCTAAACACTGCTCACATTCAACTTTGGACCATCCCATAATATTCCTCCTTATCAGAGACCAGAGCTGTGCTTTGTTTTAATGTCCCTGTACTGACCAATCAGCAGCCACTGTATGTAAACACAAGAAACAGTGCCATTCATGTTAAAGAGGCATGTTTTACTTTTATGAGGCATTAAAAACTAACACATAAGATCACCTCTTACCTTTTATTGTTTTGAAAATGTTTTATTCACCGAAAGCAAGTTTCACTCATAAAACACCCAAAGAGGACATGAAAATGTTACATTCTGACAGAGAAATATATTTTAGAAGTGGGAGATATTGACTAAAGTGAATAACAATAGTTGTTGTTTTTATCTCTCCGATCAGAACTGAGTTTTTGGCTTTTGGCTGAGGTTCAAGTATCGCACAAAAGTTGAATTTACTGAAACATTTTCAAGTGTACACTGAGAGTTTGTTTTCTTCATGCAGTTAATCAGGTTTTTGCAGCGTTTTAAGAATGAGTTTCATGGACTGTATTCTCAATAATTACATTTTAATATCTCCAGAAACAACCACAGGAATGTCATTTTCCAACTGTAATTAAGCAAGAAGAAAGGTCCTGTTCCACATTTATTAACATGTACTTGAGCGACCTGTGTGAGAGAGAGAGAGACTGGTGAGGGTCAGCAAATCAGATTTTTTGACCCCTATGCTCCTGTATCTGATCTTTTAATGACAGTCTGAACCACACAGATACAATTTTATTTTATTTTTTCAAATGTGACCCAGGACACTTGGATATGTGCTCCTAAAACCGATACATAACCAATAGAGTCTGAACGGTCAGGTCACATTCATCCCACCTACACGTCACCAACAAGCGACAAACATCACTATTCTGCACTGAAGTAGGCAGACAATGGAAGAAAGCCACAACCACGATAGACACTGCTGCCACTGCCCCACCAAACACCACGGCCAAAAACTGCGTCCTTGTCTTTCTCAATCTCCTCCTTTAAACAAATAAGCACAAACAAGTACATGTTCTGCCTCCCATACAGCAGCAGCTTTAAAACCTCCAGGTCAACGCTGCGTCCATGTTTAGGCGACTTCTGTAAACCCTGAGCACACTCGCCTCATGTGATGTTGTTCTGCACACCTGGGACACTTTTGGGGTGTTTAAAGTTCACACTGGAGATCACATACAAGACACATTTAATTGGAAATGTGAATGACATTGCAAAAAAAAAAAAAAAAAAAAATCCAAATTGAGCATTAAGCCCTGCAGTGTGAATGGAGCCAACTTGTAGCAACTCAAATGTCCATAGATAGCTCCTTTACTGTCTCCTTACCGAGCCTCTTCTCTTCTCTGGGGAAAACAAACAGCTCATTTCTCAAAATCCAACAGTCCCTTACTTGTGTCCTTTGAACTGCACATGATGTTAAAAACTGAGCTCACAAAACAAAACAAAATTAAATAACTGTAAAGGAACAACTTTGACCACCACAAACCGCTTCATGATTTTGTGATGTGTTCTAATGCTTCCTCATCACAAACACATCTGGAGTTGTGTTTTGTTTCACTCACACATGTTTAACACACAAACCTGCACATTTAGACTGAGCTCTTCTTTCTTGTGATGTTATGTGGTGATACAGGAAGTGCTCCACTGTGTTTTTAAAGTCCTTACACCTTCACTTGAATTGTCAATCTCTACTGAACTTAAGTTAAATGAGCTGTTCAGTTGAAAACTATTGCTTCATGACATCACAAGGTGCAACAGAGCATTTGGAGCTTTGTAGATGCAGCTTGATAATAAAGTGTTACTCAAACATGTGCAAATGAAACAAAACACAACTCCAGGTCTGTTTTAGAGGAGGGAACGACACTGTAACACACCTTAAAGCTCACAAGAGTTCACTCTGCATAATATAGAACCTTTACAATGAACTACTTCTGTTTTTTCATGTTTTTTAAGACAGTAAAATCAGGTTGCGCTTCTTTAAAGTGCCTGTGCGCTCCCTTGTGTGGTCGCTCTGAGCACACTTTGATGGGCTGTAGTTGGCTGATGTGACCTTTGGGGGGGCTGGACTCTTTAATGTCCGGTTTGCTGCACCGAGATGCAATTAGCAACAAAAGAAGCATTGATTTGGCGGTATGAGCGTGGTGCGTTGTTCAGAGGAGGTGATGGCTCCGTGCGATGGCTCCCTCTGGCCTCCCACTGTTTGAAACTCCTAAAGATAATGTGAAATTTAACAGTCAGCTAAAGTAATCACATCTGAGGAGGAGGCAGGGGAGCCCGACACTAATGGGAAAACTGTGTTCGATGTGTAAACAAAAGAAGAGAAAGTCAAATTCAAAATGACTTTATGGTCAAGTTTATTATGCACAATTCAAAAGACTAGAAAATGTAATTGGAAAGATATTCACTGGAGCTTTCATAAACTATTGTTGACAAGTGAAAGGAAGGCTGGTTCACCCTTCTGGCAAAGAGAAGCACGACTGAGTGTCTTTAAAAAAACACATTATGAGCTGAATTTCGCTTTATATTCACTTGTTTAATAAATCTATTAATCCACTTTCCTCTTCAAACGTGAACAAATCTGTAAGCATTTTGCCAGATTTGTTGCGTCATAAGTAAAAATCCAGATTTCCCCTGCTAATTTTTTAAGCCCATAAACCATCACTAGACTCATTCTGTGGTCAAACTGTGCTCATCACCGACACATGGCACCATGTAACTTTCAAGAGGTGGTACAGCGCCTGTATGATTCCATGGAAGCAGAAAGTTAAATACTTCGGGACATTCTCCACGGACATAGACATGTTTTAGATATATTCTGTGGAATACGATTATTCTGGAACATGCTAAATATGATCTTTGTGTCGCTCTCAGCTGGCTTCTCCAATTATCAGTCTGGGACGGCTCTCACTGAAAGAGATCAGAGAACATGACGCATCTAAATCTGATTGGTCGAAACTTCACATCAGCAGAACAAGCGAATCACAAATATCCATCTTGCTGTGTAGGGTTAGAATTAGGGTTGTCCTGATCCGATCACCTGACTGTGGACTCGATCTGGACTCGGCCGTTATAGTCCAATCAGGTATCAGATAAATAATATACGTATATACCACACGGGACACACAGCACATGTTTTTTTTTTTTTTTTTTTTTTTAAACTGAGGTGCAGGATTTGCTCAGGGACGTCCAGTCAGCGCGGCTGTCTACCCAACACCTGTTGTACTAGAGGTGCACTTACACTGGGACTTTTGGGCCGTGTCGTGCTCGGGCACTGTTACCTGTGGTTCTGTGGCCCGTGTTCACACCTGCATGGCCGATGGCATCGTCACACGGTGCTGTTTGTTTGCATGTTGCGCAACGGACCTGATGCTTTTGGCGGGGAGGATGGGAAAAACGGCATGAAGCGTCTGTTGAGCGGTGGGACCGATTGAGGCACAAACTGTGGATTGTGCAGAGTCGAGTCTCAGGTCTGATCTGATTCTGGTCTGTTTCCTGTTTTGTCCAGTTCATTAAGTTTACTAAGTTACACATTCCAAGACCAAACTGTGGTAAAAGTCAAGATTTTCAACAATGATGGTTCGTGGTTAGAAAAGTTAATAAAATTAAAGTTTTGGACGTTTCATTTTTCACAAGTTCAGCCCAAACACTGCACATGAAATCAACACAATCTGATCCCCCCCCACACACATCCTGGATCTTATTCTTTCCTCTTAGTTCCTTTCATAATGTTTTATAGAAGTATCAGATCAGGTATTGGCAGATACTTAAAATCAAATGACTCAGACTCGGGGGCAAAAAACATGTGATCAGGACATCCCTAGTTAGAATATTATTATAATAACAGCCCAAGGAACAACAATTACATGGAAACAAGCAGGAAGAGACTCTGCTCCAGGCTAAATAAGAGTCAGGTTTGTGGAGATGCAAGCCTGCTCAGAGAGAAAAAAAGGACAAATTTTCGATGTAATAAACACAAAAAAAGTGAAAAAATAAATAAATAAATAATAATAATACAATTAAATAAATAAATCATGCATTTCAAAAATAGTAACACTTTAT